TTTTTTTTTTTTTTTTGGAAAATTATAACAGATGATTTTTTTTATTTAAATCAACTGTGACAGTGCAAAACTGTCTCCACTGTCCCCTTTTTCCGTGAGAAAAGCACAGAACATCTTAACCAAAGCACACAAGCATAAAACACGATATATCTTTCCTTCTTTTTCTTCTCTTTTTTTTTCTTTCTCCCTTGCGTTCCATGTGCAAGTACTCGATAAAATATTGCTCGTGTTAAAATTCCACGCGTGCGTTCAGTTTTGCTCATCGCTGTACGTACATACGTGATAGCGAACGTGTGAACACATCGGAATGATGTTGCATACATTCCATCAATGAGGGATAGTGATATGCCGTTTCGCGATATAACGCGACGATCCTAGTCGTTGTTCCTTTTACGACCGATAACTCGATCCACGAGGCTCGTTTATCGAGCAAACGACGTAAACTTCGTATCCAGCGAGCTTACACATATAGGCATTTCCTGTATCATTTTTTTACACCATGATAACGATTCACGAACGATTGACGAATTTACGTACTCCGACGCGCATAAAATTATATAAAAGATAAAGGATTAACTCTTTTCCGAGATCAATATCTTTCCACGAGTTGTACTTGGAATATAAATCAATCAGAAAACGTAAATCATCTCTGATTGTAAGAGAAACTTGAGCAACTCTGTTGCAAGGTCTAATCTGAGATTGACGAATACATTAAATTTTATTATTTTATTATATTTTATTATTTTATTTATATAATTGTATAATAGATGTTCGTGATTTCGATTTAATCGTTTAGAGAACGTGAACCATTTCTTTGAAAAAAAAGAAAAAAGGAAAAACTTGAGCAACTCTGTTTTGTAACCTAACCTAAACTTAACGTAAACCTAACCTAAACCTAAGATTGATAAATATATTAAATTTATTATATTTATTATATTTTATTATATTTTATTGTTTTATTTATATAATTGTATAATAGATGTTCGTGATTTCGAATTAATCGTTT